TATATATATATATATTTCCCCATGGAAAGTTCAGCATGGTCTCTAATTGTATACAGTTTTGTGGCAGAAACAAAATTACATGGTTACTTGGAAACTGATTTTAATTATTCAATGTCATCTGACAATGAGTTGTGGATACTCGTTTCCTAGTTGTGGATACTCGATTCCTACAATGGGTATGGTAATAATAAATATCTGTATTATATGGAAACAAGTTCCTACCCTAAGTATCTCAGGTCTAACAATAACCACAGATTCGTAAAGGCAATGTTAGGATTCAAAGCTAAATGAAGATTGTTTTGCAGCAATCGTCATTTGTTTATTATTCATACTTTTTGAGCAATTTAAAAGTGTGGTAACTATAGGATGTTCAGGAGAATATTACGTCATATCTCAGGCGACAATAAACAGATGCAAAATGCACGAGTTGCGTGAAGGGTGATCGAATTTGAAAGCATTCTGAATGCATGTCTGAATGAACATAATTTGCTATTTAATTCATTAATGAGGGAATTGCTTTTGAAGGAAGACTGCAATGAGAGACCCAAAAATTCTGTTACCTTCCATCAGCCAGCTGCAAGTTGTTGAGCGGTGTGATCGGCGGTCGTCCCCAACTTCGCAAAGCGCGCGCGAAACTGAGTTGAGGTCGGTCGGAATGAGGGGAAATTGGATAAAAGGAGGGAGGGGGAGGAGGAGGAGGTAGGAAGGATACAACGAGTTCGGAGTTCTGTCTGTTGATGTATCTTATTACTGAATTTAGGCATACTCAGTTTATTTTCAGAAATACTAATTAGACAATATGAAAAATGAAAACTTATCACAATTAATTTATTATGTTATGGACGGGCGGACAGACAGACGGAGGCAGCCAAGTGGACAGGAGGACTGACGGACATAGCGATGGGCAGGTGAACGCACGGACGGGTTGATGGAAGGAATTCCAACATTTCTAAGGCGGGAATCGCCCGACTGCATCCCGTAATCAATTTTTCCTCCCAATTAATACCCTTTCTCTTTTCGTTACCCGAGAAAGTAAATCTCGATTACAACCGGTATCGTTCAATCTGTGTTTCGGAAGGAACATTTCCATTCCTAAGTAGAGCCAATGTGTGCTCTCGCACCAGCACAGAGCAAATCTCGAACACGGGCGAACTGGGCAGAATCGTCAGAATTGTGTATGTGAAGTCAGCGAGGTAAGAAGATGCTCGTGGTAGGCGGTTTCATGTTTTGTTTTCACAACTTTTTAAGGCTGTAGTTTTCAACGCTGGCAGTGCTTAAGATGACATGCAAATGCTTCATGACAACCGACAGAAGTGGATCATTTATAATGAATCATTATAATACCAAGCAGATAAGGTACACGTATAAATCAATCCTCAAACTAAGGAGGAAAATAAGAGGTTTCGATCGAGCTTTTTGGGGAGATAAGTAAACGGCATAGGAAGGTAGTCCGGGGGATGCAGTCAGGCCCTTTTGGGAAAGGTAGGTAAACGGCTTAGGTCAAGTCCACTCTGGGATGCAGTCGGGCTATGCCTTTTAGGAGAGGTAGATAAACAGGTGAATGAAGTTGACCACGGAATACAGTAGGGGGGGGGGGGGTAAACGACTGAGGAAAGGTGACAGCTGGTTGCAGTCGGGATCTGTTCTTTTGGGACGGAAAGGTACGTAAAGGACTAAGAAAAAGTTGACGGCGGATGGTGCAGTCGACGAACTTTGTGGAGGGGGAGCGGGAGGGGGGGGGGAGGCGGTACTCACCCCCCGATGTTGACGATCAGCCCCTCGCGCAGCGCCGCCCCTCTGGCGCGCATGCGCCGCACCACCTCCCGCGCGCACAGCGCCGCGGCCACCACGTTCACGTCCAGCACCCGCCGCCAGTCGCCCGCGCTGCCGTCTGCGCTCCCAACACACGCACACAGCTCAACTGGGGCCCACAACAGCGCGCACTTGCTCGCATTGTGACTTATTCGCTTTCATTTTCGAAAAATTCAAACCAAAATGAATAAGCGTCTCTTGTTTTATTCGTGGAATTAGTGGCGCTGGAAGAGCACATATTTTCCGGCATTATATCTATATTTGCAATTTTTGAAAATTCAGAAATCAGACAAATGAGACCGCGAGCTTTGTTTTAACCGCAGAAAAAGTAATGCTAAAAACCACATGCTTTTTACCATTACGTATAAATTTGCAATTTTCGAAGAATTCAAAAAATTCAAGGAAAAAGATAGGTTTCTTTGTTTTATTCGTGGAATTTGTACTGCGAAAAGATTACATTATTTCAAGCATTATTTCTAAATTTTCAATTTTTCAAAAATTCAGAGCATTCAACGACAACAATACCGTGTTACTTGTTTTATTAATGGAATTACTGGTGCTAGAAGTTAACATTTTCTCGCATTTTGTCTAAATCTGACATTTTCGAAAGATACAGAGCATGCAACGGACAAGAGATCTGCGCTATTCTCTTAGGTGTCACTAGTTGTATCTATGAAAAAAAGGTGCTACTAGGACAAATACTTTCTTGCATATTTCTAAATGTGAATTTTCGATAAATTCAGAAACTTAAATGAAAATAACACACGTACCATTCTTAAAGGCATCCCCTCATTTACCGAAAGACAAGTAGGGCTACTAGAGAACATACGTTTTTGGAACAGTTCTTATTTAGTATATTTTCAAAGCGTTCAAAAAAACGTGTATTGTAATTAATTTCTTTATATATTTTCCGTTTAACTATAATACTAACAACAATAAAAATTATTACCTTCAAAAAAACAGGCGAATAACGGCTTCGGCTAACACTTAGAAATCCCCATTACGTTAAAAAGTGTGTAAAAATTTAATTCTGGAGTGCTGTTTTGAAAAATGGTTTAAAAGTAGAACAACTTACGAAAAATTGAATGGAGCAAACCACACTCCCGTCGAAATAATAGTTTGGGAAATACACGCAAAAATAGGCTACGGCCAATTCTGAAAGATCAAAATATCCCCCCCCCCATTACGCGACCAATTTAGGAAAAAATTAATTTCGGCGTGATGATTTGAAAACTGGTATATAAGTAGAAAAACTTACGAGAAACTGAAGGGGACAAACCACACTCCCGTCGAAATAATAGTTTGGGAAATACACGCAAATAAAGGCTACGGCCAATTCTGAAAGAACATAATACCCCCCCCCCCATTACGCGACAAATTGAGGAAAAATTTAATTTCGGCGTACTGTTTTGAGAACTGGTATATTAGAAGAACAACTTACGAGAAACATTGTTTGATTACTGATTCTATGCGCTAAGGACATCATATCGTAAGTGTAGTGCATATTTTAGTTGGGAAGTGGCTATGATATTTTCCAAGCAGGTATCTTGCACCAGCAGGGCGGCGCCGAGCCAGGGACAAGCACTAAGCACCCGACCGGTGTCCCGGCGTGTGTGTTAGTGGAGTGCATAATATAGAAGTGTGCGTAAGGGGGTGAGAATAGAATAAGGAATGGGAAGAAAGGTCGCGTTTGGGCCGTTGTATATTTTGTAGGGTAGTCGGCATTTGCCTGATGTGAAGTGAAAACTACCGATTAGAGGAGCCGACTGCTGGAATTGTCGTCTAGACAGCGGCTGAGTTGGAAGTGGCTGACTAGCTAGTCTGAAAATCTTGGCGCCGTAGGGAGTGGAACTCTTGATCAGAGTCATGACAATGGCTTAGCCACGTCTGGCGCTGATGCGTTTTACTTCTCACCAAGGACGTCGGCTTCTCCGGCGACGCCGGCGCAGCACACGAGCAGACTGGGCCCGCCCGGCAGCTCGCGCTCCGCCCACTCCACCGCCGCCAGCGCCTCCTGCTCCGCATGCAGGTCGCACTGCAGGGGGCGGAGGCGCCCCGCCCCGCCCGCGCCCACGCGCCCCAGCGCCAGGATCTGCGCAGCACATACGCTCAGAGGTGGAGCTTAGCACCCAAGCACACAGCCAGTGCTAGCCCTCATTGGCACACAGCACGAAGGCAGGGCGAGAACGTAGGCCTATGCCTCTCTAAACCCTAACACTCTAGCGCCCAAAGAACTCGCTGCATCGGCACTCCATACTGATGTGCTGCTTATTTACTACACTTGGTAACTGAATGATGATTTACGAATCAATTCAACATTGTAGGTGTAAATGCAATTAATAATATCGGAATATCATAGGTGAAGAATATGTCTAGAACCAATAAAGAGAGTATAAGCCAAGAGAAGAAGAAACACGGAAAGGCAACTAAGAAGACGGAAGGAAATGCGAAAACCTTGCAGTCGGCGATGGCTCACCTGCAGCTGCTCCACCTGTCGGTCGAGGGCGGCGACGGTGAGGCCCAACGCCAGCAGGCGGCGGGTGATGGCGGCGCCGATGCCAGAGTTGGCGCCGGTCACCAGCGCCGACCGCCCCGCCCCCGCGCCGCGTCGTCCGGGCCCCATAGCCTGGCACGCCCCCCGCGCGCACGCGCAGCCTCCAGCACGTGCAGAGCGCGCCAGAGCAACAGCCGTTCCGCTGCTTCACACGCACGCACGCGACTTTCAGCAGCTGCAAACGCCCAGGCGCAAACAGCCGTTTCGCCGTCTCACACGCACCCGAAAACTTCAGCAGCTGCAACGCGTCCAGGGCGCAACAAGGCGCTTCCCTTCTCACACGCACCACACTTTTCAGCAGCTGCAACCCAGGCGCAACAGGGACTTCCCGTCTTGTTCACACGCGACGACCAGTTCGATGCAGCTGCAGAACGCTCAGCGCAAGCGGGGCCGTTCCCTGCTCACACGCACGCACGCACTTCAGCAGCGTGCAACGCCCAGCGCAGACAGGGCCTTCCCTCTCGACACGCACGCACACTGTTTCAGCACTGCAACGCCCAGGCGCAAACAGCGCGTGTCCCTCGCAGCAGGCGCACCCACACTTTCAGCAGCTGCAACGCTCAGCGCAACGGGCCGTTCCCTCTCACACGCACGCACACTTTCAACAGCTGCAACGCTCAGCTCCAGAGGCCATTCTCAATCACGACATGCAACGCCCAGCTCAAGAGGTCATTCTCCCTCACATGCATTCACTTCTTCAGAAGCTGCAACACACTGCACATGACATCGTTCTCCATCATCATTCACACGCACGTTTTCAGCAGGAGTAACAGCACAACATATCATTCTCTATCATCAATTATCCCTTTTTGAACGCATTGAAGAAAACGTCAATTATGCACTGCACTCCACCTCCCTTGACAGCACTCTCTTGCCCTTCCATTCTCTTTGTTATCCTGTAAGGAAGAGAAGCAGGCTCACCTCAGCCGCAGCAGGGGCGGTGAGGATGAAGCAGAGCGCGGACGCCACGTCCACCGCCTCCGCCACCTCGTCCCCGTCCCCGTCCCCGTCTTCGTCCTCGTCCGGCTCCCCCAGCCACAGCGTCTGCCGCACACACGCGCGCAGGCGTCTCACCAGACGCGCACCCCACGTGGCACATGTTCTACCCGAGGGCACGAGTCCCCCAAGAGGGCGCCTTTGCGGCCACCTCCCGCTGCCGCGCAAGTACGTCGACAGACTGGGGTCCGGGACCCGCCGGAACGCAGTTTACCTTCATGGCATACAATGCCTGGGTGGGGCCGCCCTGCCAGCACAGAGCTAATGGCATTCCAAGCTAGCACCGGACCCAAATCAATGCGCCACTCACATGCGCCGGGCGAGACCCTACTCGAAACCCAACGTATTGGGCCAAGACGCCAACAGCGGGCCACCCGAACTGGGGTCCGGGCGGGTCGGGGCCCCGTTCCCGTCTCCTCGCTGCTTCCGCCTTGAAGCTATTGACGTGAGTACCGCCAGAACCTAGGTAACCTGACAGAGGGGTTCATGGTTTCCGTGTGAACTTTTATATGTGGGATGCACACGTAAGCTTTCACGGCTTCATTCCATAAATTCTCGGCTATCCGGGAGACGCCGCGTTGTTGGCTGGGAGGCCGACGCTTCGCCTGATATGTCGCAGGCTTCCTCAGGGCAGTGACGGCAGGCTTCCTCACTTACAGCTTTGTCACTGCCCTGAGGAAGCCTGTGACATATCAGCTGAAACGCCGGCCTCTCAGCAAACGACGCGGCGTGTCCCGGATAGCCAACAATTTTATATGTGAGATCCGGAGCATTCCAAAGAATCTTCTCAACTCGTTCCTGCCCAAAAGTCAACGCGCGAGGGGCCCAACTCGCGAGTTACCGGGCGAACTCTGGTATACGGAGCATAGCATGACCTACTCACTGCCTTCATCTTGATGTTAACGACGCGAGTGCCGCCGTGAAACTCACGGTCCGGCCGTCTACAAGTCTCCATGAGGGGGATATATGAATGAAACGAATGTTATTAAGTTGTTAATTAGATCGCTGGTAAGGTAGATACCTTCTAATAATTAAATATGGAAAATTAAAGATATTGTCTTGTATCAAAAAATATATGATCGATGATCTTTCGATCGCGTAGCGAACATCCTCAGAGCTAAAACTAGAATTACAGACATAAAATTACATTAATACATGAATTATGAAACTGGGTGTAAGTTATTATAAAATTTTATATACAAAATGTAGGCATTGTATATCAGGTGTGTACGCAAACTGAGTCGTACATACCTTGCGGCCGAAAGCAAAGTTCTGCGAGTGGCGCATGAAGTTAGAGGTGTACAGTTTGTGCTAATTTTAGCAGAGAAGAAGAGAGTTCAGGGAATTGCTGGTTAAGACAAGTCATGTTCTGTGTTTTGAGGATGTCGTGTATATGTAGAGATTCTAATTTTATTCTGTTCCAGTGTTTAGTTCATATTTAGTCATTAAGTGGATCGCAATAATCAGATGAAGTGTGGAGGAGGATGTTGTGAGGTGAAGGTGCGCAGAAACGCCACTCACCGCGACGCGCATGCGCAGTCCCTGGCTGCGCGCCTCCTCCGCGAGCGCTGCGCACAGGGCCCGGTCGGCTGCGCGCGCAGCCGCGCACACCCCGCCCCGCGCCTCCCGCCCCGCACTGCGCACGAGGGGCAGCGCCACGTCACCCAAACGCGCCTCGCCACTCGCACATGGCGCAAAGACAAGAAGAAATCACACTGCGCAGACACAAGAATAAGCAGCACGGTGAAGCAACAAGAAGCCACACTGAGAAGAAATGAGAAGTCACTGAGCAGAACCTAGGAGAAGTCACATTGTTAAAAAAGGCACACTGAGCAGAAATGAGAAGCCATGCTACAGAGAAAGAAGAGGAAATCATACTGCGCAAAAATGAGATGCCACACTGAGCAGAAACAAAAAGCCACACTGTGAGGAAGGAACAAGCCACACTGTGGAGAAGAAAGAAGGCACATTGTGAGGAAGAAAGAATCCCTACTGCTCAGAAATAAGAGGCCTCAATGTGGAGAAAGAAGAAGCCACACTGAGCAGAAACAAGAACCCATACTATGGAGAAAGAAGAATCCACGTGAAAAAAAGCACACCGAGCCGAAATGAGAAACCCTACTGAGGAGAAAGAAGGAGAAATCACACTGAGCAGGACCAAAAAGCCCCACTGCGCAGAAGGAAGAAGCAGCCACCGGCGATAAAGCGCAGGCGCACCTGAGCACGTGCAGCAGCAGCGCCGGCGCCTGCAGCGCCTCCGCGTCCTCCGCCGCCAGCGCCGCCAGCTCCCGCGCCAGCGCCGCGCGCACCACGACGCCCGCGTCCAGCGCCGCCCGCCACGCGCTCACCGCCGCCTCTGCGCGCCGCCCACCCACCCACGCACACGCGCGTTACGCTCTCTGCAGGAACACAGCCCCCGCGACGACGCGCAAGCCACCACAACTATACCATTCCTCAGTTCAGTAGGCCCCCAACGCAGCTTTCTATCGATTCTGCCTTCCCTTAAAAGAACTGTCACGGCTTCTGCCCACTCTCAATTCAGTCAGCCCTCAATTCTCGCGTCCCTCAAAGCAGCCGTCCCTGAATTGAATCGCGGCTGTCATCAGAGGTTTCTCAATTCAGCTATTCGTCTTTTCCGCCGTCTTTGCAGCCTATTCCAATGATGCAGAAATTCCCGAACGCTGGCATCCGTTATTCCAATAAACTGTGAATCCAGCCATTGCTGAATTAGCTAATTGTGACTGCAGCAATCACTGAATACAGATATCAGGTTATTCTTGAAATGTACAATATTAATCACGAACCTAGTCATCACTGAATCCAATCCCTAATCTGCTACCTTCTAAATGCCTTAACACCTGGATTCCATCTTTTGCAAAAAAAATTATCGTCATGATTCCATTCATCCTTCCATCCATTATTTGTATTCTGTCCGTATCGCCCTATCTGAAACTATCTATCGCAGCGCTTCGCCCAGCCGGCGAGAAGAGAAGAGAGAAGAAAAAAGAGAAGAGAGGAGAGAAGACAAAAGAAGAGAAGGGAAGAGAGGAGAGAAGAGGGGAAGAGAGGAGAGGAGAGGAAAGGAGAGAAGAGGAGGGTAGAGGAGGGTAGAGGAGGGTAGAGGAGGGAAGAGGAGGGAAGAGGAGGGGAGATGAAGGGAGAGGAGGGGAGAGGAGGTGAGAGGAGGGGAGAGGAGGGGAGAGGAGAGGAGGGGAGAGGAGAGGAGGGGAGAGGAGAG